TATTTACAAAAAATAATTTTTTAGTAATTTTAATCTTGAAATGTATACAGAGTGTCCAGTGAAGACCGTAACGTTTAAGAGTAGATTTCTGAAATTATTCGAGACGAAAATCCTAATATCAGAATGTCGAGGCTATAATAGTTTTTAAATTATAAGCATTTAAAGTTAGCAAATTATATCGTTTAAAGTTCGTGCGTTCAGATGTTGAGGTAAATGTCAACGCAAAATACCAAGAACACTTAAACGCGCGAGTTTTAAGCGATATGATTTGTTAATTTTAAATATTTATAATTAAAAAATTGTTATTTTAGTATTTTTGGCCTCGACATTTTGGTATTAATGTTTTCGTTTTAAAATGATCTCAGAAATCTATCCTTAAGCGTTGTTACGCTTTTTACCGGACACACTGTATATGTATAATGTAGAAATTTGAATTATTTCAAAATTTTACTATACATACATATACGTATCCTGCATCTTCGATTAAACGAGAATTGTTCTTGCTTTTTTTGGTTACATCATTTAAAATATTTAGGAATATTGTCATTTTGATTTAAAGGATTTTTTTCCACTTTGATCATTCCTAGAGAAACATGCTTTTGGAATGGATTGAATAAAAATATTTGTACTGTGAAAGTATTTATACAGTGCTTGTCAAAAGTTCCGTAATGGCTAATTACCTCTAGAAAATGATTGGTTTATTGAAGAAGTGTTTCAGATAAAGATTGTAGAGTTTAAAAAATTGATCAGATGATGGTATTTATTTGAACTTTAGATGACTTAAAAAGTGCGATCAAAATTAATAAAAATCTGAAATGACAACTCCTGCTTTTTAATGCATATTCTTATAGCTGACGTCAAGAGCTTTTCAAAACATTATAACAAAGTACATCTTGAATTATGAAGCTTGATAGTAATACCGCTAGTACTGGCATTATCCAAGATGTTCGACTAAAATCTTTTAAATGTTGTTTACTTTACCATATATTAAAGCAATTGGAGGCTGATCCCATTGTTTTCACTTTTAGTGTAAAAATGAAAATGAGCAAAATATGCCTTCCAAGCGATACAAGTAATACAGTGTGACACAATGGATCATTACATCTTTGTTGTTTGTCAATGTTAAACAAAGATGACATAATCCCTGTGTCGCACCGTGTCGCTTGTTGGAAGGTACACTCCAATAACCTTCACTTTGATATCATGTGTCTCTGAATATAATCTTGAACAACATTTAAGGCTTTAGGCTCCGTTACTTTTAATAATGCTAATGCCAGCGATACTATAATTTTCATGCTTTATTATTGATATATATTTGAAACAACCATTAATCGCTCGTCGGATGATTTCGGGAATAATATTTGATTCAGAGAGAGACGAATGTTAACAAAGTATAACACCAGGTTTAGTAAAGATACAAAAAATAATTTATTTAGTATTCTAAAATAAGTAATCAGAAATATAATGTGTATGATACAGTATAACCGCGTGTTTGTGCGTGCGTGCGTGCGCGCGTGCGTATGTGCGCGGTTGAGTCCGTCGTCAAGCGGTTCTGATTCGTGTAGCGCGATTTGATAATGGGCGCGCGGATTCGATCCGGAATATGAATGCGTAATAAATACGTGTAGTGAATACGTGTAGATGCGCGGGCATGCAGAATACAGAGTGCAGCGGCTAAGTTGTTCTTGCACTGTTATGAATGCACGGCAGCTACTGAAAACGCGATAGAGACGGAAAACACTCCATCCCTGTTTTCTTGCTGAAACCGGTAGAAAGATATCGGTAGAAACTTCCACCGGTAACCGAGAACGCTCGGTCGAGGTAGAGAATGCTCTGTTCTGTTTTTTCTCTCCGGTGCAGGATACGAGTCAAGCTAGTTCGCCGACGGCTGAGAATACTCAGCGGAGGCAGAGTACACTCTATCCTCTTTTCTCGCTACTTACTGTTGCTAGAATCTGGATCAGGTTTTCGGAGTGTTCTGGAAAAGAATCTGGATCGGAATAGGCCTTTTTACCACGCGATCGTGTCTTTTATTTTGCGTCGTTATTTTTCAGTTTTTCCCGGCAGCTGGCTTTCCTCTACGAGGCACGAGAAACCAGCGTGATGCAGTATGCTCGACGATATTCGGTGCGATTCGGATATTCTCGGAGCGGCGTTCTATATGGAATCGGCTAGTTAGTTGAGAATGATGGAGGGACATCATTATATTACACTTAATAAAAAATTGTTATTATAGTGTTCTGTAAAGCTCTCGACGTTACTCACAAAAATATGCAATAAAAAGTAGGAGTTTTTATTTGATTCTTTTGTTAACTTTGACGATGCTTTTTAGATTATCAAAAGTGTGGATGTACCGGATGGTCGAATATCGGATGTTTGGAAAGAAAGTGACATCGGACATCCGGTCGGATATTCGATAGGGCATTTATCCGGCTGGATACCAGATATTTTTTCGGATATTCGGCGTTCAATTTAAACAAAAGGAAAAAAAGAAGAGCAAGGGAAAAAAGCGATAATAAAAACGAATAGAATTTTACATCAATGACGCGAATTTTTAATGTAAAATTTCAACTGGATATATTGCCGAATGCTAAGATATTCGGCTATTCGGTCAGAAAATGGACTTCCCGGGTTATCTAGTGCATTCCTAATCAAAAATTCAAATAAATATCATCTAACAGATTTTTAAGCCCTACAGTTTTGTCTGAATTATTTTTCTAATAAACCAATAATTTCCAAGAAAGTTAGTCGTTTTGAACCTTTTGACACACACTGCATATCTATGTAACATCTATATTATATAGAGTGATTTATATAAAGTGATCAATTTAATTATTAGCATACCTTGAAGATATATGAAAAAGTAGTTTATATGTGTTTAGTACAAAAGGGGACATCATAGTGGATACAATTATTTTATGGGTGAAGAGATTGGGGACATTTGAAGGTTTATTTTCTAAAATTAAATCATTTGAATTTTTTTTATATAATATGATTCGTCTTTAATTGTTTTGTATATAAAAATTATATTAAGGTAGAGGTATAAAAAAAAGAAACTAATAGTTTATAAGATATGTTACTTTATTATGTCACAAAATGTTAAATAACTCATAAATCATTAACGTTTTGATAGTTGCTTTTTGATGTTATTAAGTGTACGTGATAGTGCAACTCTTGAAGAAGAAAAATCACCCCTGCTGTGCGACTGCTCAAAGATGAAGAAATTAAGTTTTTCGCACAGGTTTTTAATGAACAAATGGCTTTTTGCAAAAACAAATGAACATTTCAGACTTGTTCGAGGCTAGATTTGTTCGGCATTATGGAGACTACATTTTATTGAGAATTTCCAAGTTTTGCATTTAAATCTCAATGAATAGAGAGCGAGTGAAAAAAAGCCTTTTTCGATGTTTTTTTATTTTTTTTCTACTGAACTAATCGATTTTAACGTTCCACGTCTTATTTTGTAGTTATTTCGAATATCTACATTTTTTATACCAGTTTTTTTCCATACAATCAATATCTATCATTTTATAAGCGAAAAACCTGCTTTTTGCAACTATTCAATTTTTTTCGCATGTTTTTTTCACAAATCTTTAGTCTCACACATACGCATTTCTTTTCTGATGGCCTTTTGAGACTTTCGTGAAAAAAAATGTTGGTTTATAATTTTTTTCCGGTAAAATTTTACTTCTACAGAACTATTCTTGCTACTCGAAAAGGAGGGGTATACTATATAATGCGCATGAAAAATCATAAACAATTAAATATCTCGTAAACTGTTGCGTTTTAACATAATTTATATTATTCTGGATTAAGGGCAGGGGTGCACTATTACTACAATTTAAAACTTCTATATTATTTAAGATGTCCTTCGCCTTTTATTGATGCCTAGGGCTGTCAAGTAGCCGAGATTGCCAAGAAAGCATTTTCGGCGCTTGAAACAAGTGTGAGAAACAGCTCGCTGTCTCGTTTACTCTTGGCGCGCTGTAGGCGAGCACACGGACATGGGCTTGTGCTTGCCTGTGTATTACAGCGCCACTCCACGATAAACGGCCGAACTTATAGGTGTGGAAAAGTGATATTTTGACGATGAAATTTATGTTGTATGCCACTTCGTTATTATTTATTTAATTGTGAAAATGTGACTTGTCTCGTACTTATCAAAGTCGTAATTATCGATGAAAACTAAAGTTATTTTGGAATTTTATGTGTAAAAGCGTATATTTTATCCGTTTCAACAATTGTCGGACCGATGTTTCTGCCCGAATATAGGCTCACTTTACGTGCTTTTTACGACCATTTACTGACTGTCAAGGTAGGAAAGGACAGTTTTCATTGATTTTTACAAGTGTTTTAAAGTGATCTCGTCATTTCATCCAAATTGTCTTTATTTAAAAATGGCATGCAACATAAGTTAACGTGTCATTCCTCGCTTCTGATTTCACTATTCCAACATGGCCACCGCGACTAATCAGGAGCCTTAATATTAAAATATGGGACCTCCTTCGATTTTTAGATAGCATAAGTGAAACCTGGGCCTTAGTTCCACATGTTTGGAAGCCTGCGTAATTAGTAAGAGGGATCCAATAGCGTCCATCGCTAATGGGCCAATTTAAAATAAAATATTCTTAGTAAAGCAGTGAAAAATTATCAAGCACTGACCGATGTGAATGGATGTGTGCTAATGGTA